GCAGGGCACTGCTGTGGGGAAGCTCAGAAGGGGGGTCCGTGGCAGGGTACTGCTGTGGGAAAGCTCAGCACGAGGCCCCCAGGCAGGGCACTGCTGTGGGGAAGCTCAGCACGGGGGTCCCTGGCTGGGATGCTGCCATGGCACTGCTGCAGGGAAGCACACAGCGGGGTAGCCTTACTATGGACAGGAAGTCCTGATCCACCTTCTCCTTGAGCAGGTCAGCTGGTTTCTGCTCGTAGGCTTTGTACGTTTCCAGGTAGCGTCCGGCCTCTTCAGGGCTGAGGGGAACCAGAGACCCCAGAATTAGCTCAGGAATCATGAGACTGAGTTGAACAGGCACAGTGCACACCACGAAGGGTTAAAGCCACAGTGCTGAGCCCAGCTGGAAGGTGCCCCAGCCTGCAGGGAGTGGTGCTCAAAGCCAGGCACAGGCAGGGCCCAGCTGCCAGGCTTGCTGGGCAGCTGCTATGGCCAATGTTCAGCTCCATGCTTAGGCCCCAGTCCCACTCCTGCCATCGGCTTCACATCAGGGTCCCTGGGGGCTCCCCGAGGCCCACGGGGGGCAGTCGAGCGGATGTGCCGCAGGTCATGGAGCTTTCAGCACGCAGGCCTAGGCACGCGCTGAGGAGGACGGGGAGCCTTTGGGCAGCGCTTGAAAAATGAAACATGCTGCCCCGAGAGGACTCGCCACCTCCGGCCACCCGGGCACGATCCGCCCCTCACCTGCCACAGTCACAGTGTTGGGAATGGAACCCAGGAGTCTGGTCACAATGGCAGCCAAATCCCCAGGTTACCCACCAGCCCCATCTCATTCCAGCAGAGATGGGAGCAGGGGCCTGGGTCTCTCGCCCCTTGGCAGGACACCCCCAGGCTGGCCTGACCCAGCCTCCAGCTCCCCCACACCTTTTGCCCCATGGCAAGGCACTCCGAGCCCATCCCAGCTGGCATGAAGCCCACCCGGCCCAGCCTCTGACTCCCCGCTCCCTGGGTCTGGGTCTCACCCTCGATGGGACGGGCCCAGCCTGCGGCTCTCACCTCCAGGCCAGGATGAGGGTGCAGTCGGCCAGGATGCACATCTTGGCCAGTTCCTTCAGTGCCTGGTGCGGGTCCCTCTACAGCAAAGGAAAGCAATTCCCCTCTGAGACGGGAGGCAGTGAAGGAGGCAGGGAGTATATGAGGGGGGATGAAGTGGGAATTGAGCTGGGGAGGGGCGATGGGAGTGGCTGGGTGAGGCCATGGAGGCTGGAGAAGCAGGCGGATCACTGTGCAGGAGGATGGGAAACTGGGGAGGCGGCTGGGGACGGGGGGGAGCTGGTTCCATCCCCCACAGCCCTGCAGCAGGGACGGGACAGGGCACTGTTGCAGGAAAGGGTCTGGTTCAGGGCTAGGAGGGGACCGAGGCTCCTTACCACATCGACCTGCACCAGCAGCACCTGCACCGCGTACGTCTTCCCCAGGAGCTGCAGCCGCTCATGGATGTAGTTGGGGTTCAGGTTGTGGTACCGCAGGCTGCGAGGGGAACAGAGAGCACCGGAGCCATGGGCAACCCCTCTCCTGCCCACCCCACTGCAACTCTCCTTGCCTGCTCCGCAACCCCGGCTCTCACAGCCATCGACCTGCTGCCCCCCGAGAGCCCGGCTCTCCCAGCCATCAGCCTGACCCACCCAACACCAACCCCCCTGGAGAGCCAGGCTCTCCCAGCCATCGGCCTGACCCCCCAATCGCCTCAAGTGCCAAGCTCTCCCAGCCATCGGCCTGCCCCCCAACCAGCTCTCCCAGCCATCGGCCTGCCCCCAAACCGGCTCCCCCAGACATCAGCCTGACCCACCCAACCCCAACCCCCCGGAGAGCCCGGCTCTCCCAGCCATTGGCCTGACCCACCCAATCGCCCCAAGTGCCAAGCTCTTCCAGCCATCAGCCTCCCCCACCAACCCACTACCCAGAGCCCGGCTCTCCCAGCCATCGGCCTGCCCCCCAACCGGCTCTCTCAGCCATCGGCCTGCCCCCCAACCCCACCCCCAGAAAGCCCAGCTCTCCCCAGCATTGGCTCACCCACCCACCTCAGGAAGAGGGCACACGTGCTCTGGCCCAGCACATAGTCAGGGACGATCTCGCCAAACTCCCAGGGAATGTTGCGCACAAATTTCAGGATGGGGTTGCCCCGCTGAGAAGAGAGGGGGAGTCCCCACAGCATTAGAAATGGGGTGCCAGCCCCAACGGGGCACTGGCAAGAGACTGGGAGGAGAGGCTAAGGAGCCCCCAATGGGGGGCCCCAAAAGAGGCCGAGGGGTGGGGCGAGGGCGAGCCCTCAATGCGAGCACCAGGGAGAGGCTGGGAAAGATGGGATGGGCGAGTCCCTGACAGAGGACCTGGGGAGAGGCTGGGTTGGGGGAGAGGCTGGAAGAGGCAGGATGGGCAAGCCCTCAATGGAGGATCTGGGGAGAGGCCAGGGGAGGTGGGGTTGGGCAAACCCTTGACAGGGGCACCCAGGAGAGGGTAGGGCAGGGCAGACAAGCCCTTGATGGGGGGCACCAGAGAGAGACCCAGAGTGGGCAAGCCCCCGATGGGGATGGGGGGGCACTGAACCATGCAGCACAAGAGCCAGGGCCTGGGGAGACCCTCGCTCCACAGCCCTCTCCTGCAGAGAGAGAGAGTGCCCCCTCTGATGCCAAAAGAGAGCGAGGAGAAGTGCCCCTCATACAGCCCCCACGCCCACTCTCACCTGGCGAGCACTGACGATGATGCAGTTGCTCTTGGGCCCCGGTTTCAGCGTGGGGCTGGGGTCCGAGTCCCCACTGGCAGCAGGGGGTACAGTGCTGGTCTCAGTGCCTGGAGGGAGCGCTCCTGAGGCAGCTCCCACTCTGCACTCCGATGATGCAGCCGTCACCCTGGCGGGCCGGGAGACTGGCATGGAGGCCAAGGACACAGAGACCTGTTTGACGACGTATTCGGCATAGGAGGTGGCCCCAGGTAGGGCAGGGACCCTGGGCTCTGCTGCAGAGCAAGAAGATTTGAAGATGGGTCTCACCTGGCGGGAAGCAACAAACCCTGGGTGAGAGGGAGACAGAGCCAACTGTGCGTGGGCAGGGGCCTCTCAGGGGAAGCTGGGTATGAGTTGGAGTGATCCCAAGCATGCCAGGGATCCCCTGAGCAAGCAGGGTGTTTCTTGGGGGCCTTGGGGCAAGCACAGAGCCAGCTCTCTGCTAGGGGCCCCAGAATGAGCAGTGTAGTAGAAAGAGGAAGCCTGGTGCATGAGCCTGGTGCAAGGCCTGAAGCCTGAACCAAAGTTAGCAAAAGTTATGCTATGAGCAGCAGCCAGGCCCTGACAAACGCAGATGCTTATCTGCAAGTCAGTGGCCGGTATACAAACTCGGCACCAGTATAGCTAGCATTGCTAAAACACACTGGCTATGTAAACACATTCCCGCAGGCCAACACAAGAACACCCCAACCTCGCACTTGATAAAATGGTTTGACAAAAGTAATAAATAGTGATATTTTGTCTGAAACATCACGAGTAAAAGTACAAAGACAGGTGGTGAATACAAATGTTTTGTCTGAAACATCAGGAGGAAAGTATAAGGGGAGGTAACAAACATGTCATGAAACCCCTAAGGTGATATGTAAATTGTTTATCCCAGATGGTTTGTTTTCATTCATAAACGTTGGAATACCTCGCTTTAACCCTTCATCTGGCCTAGGGGGCAGTGGGAAGTCCTGCCACTAACTGAGCTAGTCCATTGTCATGGGCATACATGTGTTAGTGTCCCTGTAACCATTGAGCTGGGGCATTAGCACTGTGCTTTGTTGGCAATAAACCTGGCTGGGTACCTTCACTACTAAACAAGTCTTGTGGTCTCGTTGGGCAGTTCGATTGGAGCCTGCTGTACGGGCTATCTGGCCAGGGCTAGTGCAGCACGCGGAAAAAACACATGCACACAACCGAACATCTGACGACAAGCAGGGTGTGTCTGGGGGTTCCTGGGGAGGGGCAGAGCCAACTCGGTGCTAGGGGCCTCCTGCCTCTCACTGTGTGTGTGAATCTCAGCAGCCCCGGACTCAACCAGCTACCTATCAGGTCCCCTCCAAGAGCCACCCCTGCCTCCTTTCCTACCATGGTATGTTCAGGGTCCTGTGACTGCACAGTGAATCTCTTCCTCCCCTCCGGGGCCTGGGCTGCCTCCGTGGGCTCCATCCTTTAGGACCCAGCCTGGAGCGATTCCTGGGGAGAGTCCAGAGCAGACACTTCAGACACCAGCAGGGACCAGCCTCACCCAGCGGCCTGGTTACGATGAGCTCATAGCCCTGTGGTTACGCACCAAAGAGCTCTCAAGGGCAGGGGCTCGAGGCGGCAGGGCTTGAGCTCAGCACTGCACAGTATTTCTCTTGCCAGCCGGCTCAATGCAGCCCATTCCTTGGGGTTACGGCTGAGGTCCCCCCCAGGGAAAACATTGCATTAGTGTCCCCTGGGCATAAATCAGTAACATGGGGGCAGGGGACAGGGGGATTTGTCCTACATTGATGTTTGGCTGGTGCCAGGAGCCACTCACTTGTACAGACTTATTTGTCATGGGAAACTACTGGATGACACAGATTCTCCCAGCCTGGTGTTTCTCCCCCCTCGAGGTCATGGACAAGTTCAGGAGACTTTCTTTATGGCTAGATGGGGACGGGGGGAAAGGTCAGCATGGCAGGAGCTGAGAGACCCTATTTCCCAGGGGGCTCTGGGGTGCCTCACAGTACAGGGCTCCCAGCAGTAGGGATAGTGCTGGCTCCCCCACGGCAGCCCACGAGTCAGGGCCCAGGGCCCCCTGCGCAGGTCAGGGCTTGACCCCCCCTGCCAGGGTTAGGGGGCCAGGGTAAGTGTCAGGACTAGGGTTGCCAACCCTCCAGGATTGGCCTGGAGTCCCCCGGAATTAAAGATGAATCTTTAATTAAATATGATGTCATATGATGAACTCTCCAGGAATCCATCCAATCAGAATTGGCAGCCCTAGTCAGGACTGGGCTATGGGGTCAGGTCTGGGATCAGGTGCCTGGAGAGGGTCAGGGTTTGGCACGGGGTCAAGGGTCACTGCCCCCACCAGGGGTCGGTGATAGGGGTCAGGGGTCGCGGTTGGGGTCAGCGCCTGATCCCCCC